ATGGATTTTGACGTTTTTGTTCTTAAAATGACCAGAAAGAAAATATCTTTAAAAATTCGCCGGGGATTTTTGTTCCATCCTGGAATACGTATTTTCGAGTGTTTTTTGGAAAACCCATAATGGGATTTTTGGGTAAATCCCATTTTTAAGAAAAACTGTCGAACCGATTTTTAAAAAGTTTTAGATTCGGAAGCAGCGCAATTTTTTTACGTCGAATGGTATGTCAAACGTGAATTTTGACCAGAAAAATTTTTCGCGCCGTTGAGCGTTGGAGCTAGTTGGGAAGATCGCACGACTTCTCGCACCGGAAGATGTGCTGAAATTGATGATCGCGAACAAACGACTCTACTCAAACTACCTGAGGGATCAATCAATCGTTTTCGGACCTCATGTTGACGCGATAAATTTAAATGAGTACGGCGGTTCTATCAAGAAATTCTCTACTTCATCTTAACTTTCTCTGGATATCAACTGCTTTGACCATCTTGAATTGGTCAAACGAATTCATTCATGTGATAAGTTGAAGCTACGCCCTGGTGGATTGTGGCGACAATACATCAATGTTGGACATGAAATGTTTCTTAGACAACTGAAATCGGTGAATGAACTGAGCTTTGGGCTCAAATGAGGATTGCAGGAGATTCTTCAGAGTGACTTTAGAGAAAAATCACTGAAAGAGCAGCTCAAAGATTTTGTCGAAAAAAAAGTGGTGGAATGCGAGAGGATCACCGTGTTTTGCGACTTTATCGATCTCTTCCACGTTAGCTACAATGCCTTGGCAAAGACGCAGATTAAATTTGCACAAATCGGTACGGTCGATTTGAACTTGGTCATTCAATGAATTGTCAAACATGGAATTCCGAGCCAAAACCCAGAGGCCAGTTTCTACGACTACATCTCCAATTCAAATGATTGGAATGATTCGACTGATTCGACTGATCCAGAGTTTCCTTTTGAAATCGTCACCTTTCTTACTAATTACCCGGGGATGAAACAACTTCACGGAGAAGATCGTTTACCAGTGCTGAAAGAGGCCGCCAAGAAACAAGAAATTGTGGGAAGGCTTTGACAGCTTCGAGTTGGAAATTTTGTCGTCGAATCGATTCAAAGAAAGACGGCATTTACATGCTCCAAGCTAACAAATTTAAGTACATCTACTTTTATGACTTTTGCATGTCATTTCAATGAAATGATTGATTTTAGCTTTTTCGTGCTGTTTTGTTTGAAGATTGATGTGTTTAATGTCATTTGGTTTATTTCTATATTTCATACATGTTAAAGTTATGGTTTGGATAACAATAAGTCGTTAAAAAGATGTTTTGATGTGAAATGAGTAAAAGTTGTGTGCTTTTAAAGGTTTCTTTGATTGTTAATCTGGAAAGTTTAAACTATGAAGGATTTTTCGATAAGATTTAGTTTTATCTACGTTTGATCACTTCTATTTTTCGTTTTTTAGACATTTTTCGTCGGTTTTATGGTTTATTGGAGTCATTTTTATTATTCGAAAATTTTAAGTGTATTTGCAAAAAACTATTGCTCATTCGCAAAAACGGATTTCGCCATCGTGTTCAGCGTAGTCGATAAGCGTTTTTTCTTGATTTTCAGGTCGAGCTCCGACCACCATGTCTGGTCATTCCTTTTTGAGATACGACTTCGAGACTTTTGAGATATGAGATGTAACGTGCCCTTCAAAGGCAAAATCTCAAGATATTCAGTTAACAACGATGAATATCTTAAGATTTCGCCTTTGAATGGCGCTTTATAGAAAGTCATTACTTGGGAGGAACACACTCTATCAATTATCCTCAAAGGGATTACCCGGCCTCGGTATTTTAAGTGTAACTCAGCACTTAGATGTGCAATCATCTCACGCTTTGCTTTAATAGAAAATTTGAATATTTTTCTAAATTTGAATATTTTTCTATATTTGAATATTGCTTAGGTTTGATGAAAAAAATGTTTTTCTGCCTTTTTATAGAAGCTCAAAGTTGTCAGTCAGGAATTGCCTGCCGCCGCACTTGTTTTTAGCTTTTCATTTCCAGAAAACGCCAAAGGTTGAACATGTCTTTAAACGCTTTTGTTTTTGCAATACTTTTTAAACATTATCAAACGAATCAGAAGTGCTTTGTCAAAAGACCTCTTTGTTCAGAGTTTTCTTTATGGCATTGATAAGATTCACAACTTTTATGCTTATGAGTTAAATATCATAAGTTAAAGTGACTATGCGAGGTGACAAGAAATTTATAGTAAAGAAATTATCTCATTTTCAAAAAATCTCAGTTTCAATAATGCCTTTCTTATCACAAATGAGCGAAATGCCTTCAATCGGCTTATTGAGTCTGAAGCTTTTGAAAATTTTGAGCAAACATCTATTTGATTTTAAATTGTAGTTGTAATATCTTTGAAGTTTCAATGATTTAGCAAAATTTCGAAAGTTTCTTTTTAGCTAAAAAGACATTTCACACCGTTATTCCGAGACTTTTAGCCGGCATTTTATACATGAAACGAGCATACCAGGAAATGTCCGCCATCCGAGAGCTGAATAACAAGAAAGATAGGTAAGCATCGAAAAGGCTCACACTTTTGCTTTTCCCGCAAATGGGTCACTGTTGAAGCAAGAATCATTTGCAGAATCTATTTTAAATTATGGCAAGAAAAAGCACCTGACATATCGAATTGTCAGACACAAAAGCAATTGTGGTTTTTAAAAGCCCACAACCCACAAGTTAGTTTGATTTCTGATATGGGGATCGTAGACATTTGGTGAAGCAAAATCAACTGTCCACTCACTCCAATATCCATTGTTAATGACGCCCGTGCCAACCAAACCAGTCCATATGTGTTCCCCATAACAAACGTGAAGATCGTCTCCGCCAAGAAAGCTCAATGGATTGGTCGTATTTTTGTGCTTTTTCCAATGAGATCTCCTTTTACACCAACAAAAGAGTATTCATTTTGGAAAGAATTGATTTGAACTCTATGTTTGTCAAAGATGTTGTTACACTTGTTGAATTTGACTAAACCAACCCATCACAAAATCATGTTCGGTTTATGAATGAATTGACACCAAATGCATTCTTGGTCAAGTAACGCAAAAACGATTTCGGTTGACACCATCTGGACTTAAAAATAGAACTAAAACATCAAGAAAACATTGCTGATAAAAAATGAAAAGGTAAAAAAAGTCTTGATCGCCTTTTGATCGATCGGAGATCGAACCAGGGTTGCCAAAAAATCGAATCATGTTTTTTTACCCACTCGGCCACCATCTTTAAGGACTTTAATCCTGAAAATCGAAAAATGACCTAAAATTTAAGGTGTGTTTGCAAAAAAACTATCGCTCATGCGCAACAACGGATTTCACCATCGTGTTCAGCGTAGTCGATAGGCGTTTTGTCTTGATTTTCACGATTTATCGGTCGAGATACCACCGCCCGGTCTTGTCGAGACCCCTTGTCAACCCCAATACTGTAAGCACTTAGGAGATTGCGCGTCGACAACCACTAATAGCCTACCAATGATCACGACGACTACAAAGAAGCCAAAGCTCTATTAGAAGAGTTCCTACAGGGGGGTCAAAGTCTATACGCAAAGAACCGCTCATACCTCAGCCCAGAAATTTCTTTCTGCGCGTTTAGGTATCAAATTAAAGTGGAAAGATAGGGGAATTTTTTGAGCTATTACATGTATTTTTAGCTTTAATCGAAATTGAATGATATTCGTTTTCTTGCTTTAATCTATCCAAGATAAATTGGAAGATAATATCTGACTACGAGAAAAACAAGTTTGTCACAATGTTAGCAAAACAATCAAGAGTTGTTTCGAATCTTAAAACAATTCAAAAGCCAATGATCTTGGGGTTGATTGGTTTTAATTTAGTGATCTTTGATCAAAATCAAATTTAAATGAGAGGAGTAAGCTTCATTCAGCGAAGAAAGGTTCTTGTGTTTGCTTAAAATCATTTGCTAATACTCTAAAAATAAATATAAATTCATTTTCTTTTCATTTTCCTAATTGCACGCAAGGTTTTAAGATCATTTTCCTGAGAAAAATAGTTTCCCCTTCAAAAAGTTGTGCCACTTTTCACAAAAGCCTCTTATCTTCTAATTTGATGGGTCGAGGGGTAGAAAAGCATTTAAAAAGACTCGTGAATGGTAGAGAATTCATTCACAAAAATGAATGCTTCAGCACTTTTCACAGTCTTTCTTTTTTATTTCATCAAAACCAATGCGATTTTCTACTGTCCACCTGAATCGTTTCAAATGCCGAATGAGAATGTTTGCGGGTTTGCTGTTGCACAAGGTGAATTCATTTCAAAGCGTGAAAAATAAAGTTAAGATTTTGGGAAAGATTCGTTTTATGTAGAATCTTAAAAGTCGCTAAGCTTTTAACTGTAAAAATGTAAGTTAAAAGTGACATTGTTACTCTTAAGAGTACCAAGAAGCCGTTTGTAAGACAAGTTGGAACTCGTGAACTTGTAAAGCATCCAAATATGGCATAAGTTATTCTTGCAAGCTTTACAAGAAGTAAACAGCTCAACAATTGCTATTCTAGCCAATTATTACCATGATGTGGTGAGAGAGTGCTCAAAGCGAGGCGGAATTGTGGCGAAAATTCAGAATGCCTTCGAGAATGCATTTTTCTACGCGTTGATTAGTGATGGTTGGTTAAATATATCGTTTAGCAATGGTTAGCTTTAAGAATCTCGTAATGATAAGATTGATCCTCGTAAAGCTTAATTCAAGAACACAAGTTTTCGAGGTTATAACTAATGCAATTGTGAAGTATTTGCGTATTTAGACTTTGACAATCAGCCTCCATATATTGGAGTTGAGAAGAAACCGAATGGAAACTGGACGTACGCTGATGGAACACCTTTAACTTATCAACATTGGGCATCGGGTAAATCAAATCAAGTCTTTAATAGCTGAATGATTAGGAGAACCAAATTCGGCGTCCAATTCGGTTTGTGCAATTATGAACCCAACAAACGGTCTATGGATTTCCGCTGATTGTGCTGTGCCAAGGCCATCCTTTTGTACAGCGATTGGAAACGGTAAATGAATCGGTTTAACAGATTCACACGGCTTTAGAGGGTCCTTGTCCATCCAATTGGCTTTACTTTGATCAGACAAAATCGTGCTACTATCTACAGGTTGCTTTTGAGCTTAAAAACAATTTCAACAATTTGTTTTTGGTAAATCTTAACGGCTTGACAAAGACATTTTGTTTGGAATCTTTTCTAATTTCAGAATTTCATCTACCCGGATAGTCAGCACTGGAAATACTGGAATTTCACCGAAGCGGAAGCACTTTGTCAAGGAATGCATGGCCATTTGGTGTCGTTTCATTCAAAAACCGAGTACGATTTTGTGATGGGTGAGTCTAGTCTGTCAGATATGGGTAATCATCATGTAATCATCCGCAAGGGTTGCTTGGCAAGTAAACTCAGTTGATCACCTTAACTTCAGATCTCATTGGCACAAACGTGAATACAACCGATAATTTGGGCTTTCTAAGTATAGACGGACAACACGTGTGCTGGTGGAAAGATGTGTGGACTGGCTTAGTTGGAACAGGTGTCATTAACAATGGATATTGGACTGATGGGACACCCGTTGATTATTCACCACCACATATCACCAATCCGGAGGACAGGAATCAAACTAACAACTGGATAGTGAGTGTCTGAAAATGTTAACCAATTTTTAAAATTAACAAATTTTTATATTAAAGATTTTCAGATGTGTAACGATCCTACATGTGACCCATCACCCGGTTGGTACACACTACCGGCTGTGGCTAAATATTCCCGTTTCATGTGCAAAATGCCGGGCAAGAGTCTCATCGTGTAATTAACCAGAGAAAAATGCCTTCATTCATCAACCTTATGAATATTGTTAATAAACCTTCATCAAGTCTTTCCCGTTACTTTGCAATCTTTACACGCAATGAAAAATTCCAAAATTCTTGCAAAATTCAACGAAGCAGAAGCACTTTCTACAAGAATGCATGGGAATTTAGTGTTGATCCACTCAAAAGTCTAGAACGATTTTGTGATGGGTGAGCCTACGACCTATTAAACAAATCAATCGTTTGATTTCAAAATCTCATTGCCACAAATGTGAATGCGAATAACAACAATCATTTTTTCTCTTTTCTGGCTGCCAATGGATTTCACATTTGCTGGGCGAAATAGCTGTGGATTGGATTGCATTGGAGCGGGAGTTGCTCAAAATGGAGAACTACGTTCCCCGCAGTCGGGGAACGTAGTTCGGGGGGGGGGGGGCAGTATTCTTTCCCATTCATTCGGGCAACGGAGTTAGGTATGTTTTTTCTCTCTTGTGAGTTTCGAAAGTTTACATTTCTCGGGATTTCTTTGGCCAATTTCTAGCTTTCAGATGAGTAACGATGGGACTTGTAATGAAAGTGGCTGGGATATGGAACTGGACTCACATGTCTACAGCCGTTTTGTGTGCAAAATGCAGCTAAAAGTCTTGCGACGATAGAGTAAAGAATTCTTTCTGTCCTGGATCAAGAAACCTGGAGAAAATAAACCAAGGAGAAGTAGTTCTGCATCTCGATCACTTTCTTCGACACAGATTTATTTTCGAGAAGCTTTTTTTCGAGCTTTTATAATGAGGGGATTTAAGAATAGAAACGTTAGAATAGCCGCCGAGAAAATTGGGGCCGCAATAGCGATCCCAACATAGACTATGGGCCCGTTTCGGAACACGAGAAGACGTGGCTCTTGCGAGAAATCATTTGAGATCGATGTGTCGAAGTAATTCTAAACATAAACATCATATTAATAGTTTTTTTTGACCACAAAACCCTACCTGACATTCTAAAAAGCTTTCAACGCAAATCTCCTTGTAGGCTGAACCAGTGAAGACCACGGTGACTAACGCGAAAATTGAGCAGCCCATGCTTGCAATGGCTTTCTTGTACAGAAAACTGACTAGCTCCTCGGATTGAAATGTGGAAAGATGAACTGGAATTCGAAGATGCTTAGATACGATTCATTGGGTTGTAAACCTTGGTAAATAGCTGATAGCTCAAGGGTTCCAATGATAACGATCAATAAGCTTATTACCATCAGCTAAACTCGGATTTTAGAAAGAATCATTGACTCTTGGCTGAAATTCAAACATTTTGAATGGAGATTTATGGTTGAGATGAAAATCTGCCTCAATAAATATGCTTTATTCGGCACTTTATACGCAAAATACATCAAAATAATTATTAAAGAAGCTTTTCATATAATCTTGTATTTGGATTTCCTAGACATCAGGGATCTCGTTGAGGGTTTGGATCAATTGCTAAACAAATTAAATTAAATTCTTTTAAAACCACAATCAACTCACCTTGACTTCAGCATCGAATCTGCGCAAATGAGGCAAGTAATTCTCAGCGGATGACTCAAAATTGGACTTAATTTTTCTAAACAACAAATGTTTTGTTTCGAAATTTGAAAACTTACGTGAATGACTCGTGTTTCTCCTGTAAATCGGCCAAATTTGGAGCGTCCTTGAGAGTTTCTTCTTTCGAAAGCAATTTCTAAAGAAATATCGACTTCAATTGGTTGATATACTTTTATTTGATAAAAATGCCGTTTCAAAGATGCCAATCTCCTCGAGAAGTTCCTTGTGTAGTTTAGGAAGCGAATCCTCGTACATCTTGATGACATTTTTTGACTCTTGTTGAAGTTCCATCAACATTTGGTTAGCCTAAACACATGAAATTAATATGGTACGCCTTTTAATTCCAAACTAACAAAACTAATAACAAGATGCAAAAGATACCTGCTTTTCCAATAACGGAATGGCTTCATGCGAACGATGTTTTTTGTAAGCGCAAGCGCCACAAATCTATAAATAAAAAAGAGCTTAATCAATATTAACAATAGCTTACTTCAAAATCACATTCACTGCAATAAAACATTTCGTCGACAATATTCTAAAATACTTCTATAGAAATCAATTTAAGTAGGCATACCTTTTTGTGGCATTCCTTGCAGCTACATTCATCTTTGACATTTCTCGCAGCATTCATGATTGCCTGCATTTGTCGAATCAGAATGATGTTTCGTCTCTTTGTCGGAACCTTTTCTTTGAAGTCACTAGTTGAATTCTCCGTGTCGCTGTTTGTGACTGGTTCTCGTCTAAAAGCCAAAATATTGTTCGAAAACATTTTAATGAAGAGCTTTGGGGTTTTTGAAAGGAAAAATCACAAATCCCAATTGGAGTTCCACTTTCGGCGAGGGAAAATCTCGTGGGAAGGGGTGCCGGCAAGACTGAAAAGAATGATATTTCAAATGTTACAGTCAAGTTTTAGAAAACGTTTTTGCTAGAAATCATATATAATTAATCTTTTAGAAAAATTTGAAAAGAAAAACTAACTTTTCCCCGTAGTCAGACTCTTTTGTGTAGCAATGAGCGGCACCGATCAATCCCGTTAACGGCAAGACTCGTCGGAGTAGGTACATTCACTGAAATGTGTGAAGTTAGAAAAGCAATAGAAACAAAAAGAAATATGAAAGAAAAGTTTATCACTGAACATCAAAAATTGGTCCATACAAGGGACAATTAAAACTGAAAGTGTCAAGAGCAATGTCACAGATGAGAAATGTAAATTGGGAAATTTTGACGGGAATTCGGGCTATTTTTGATGAAGTTTCGAGTTATTTTTAATGAAGAGCTAGCTTTTAAAAGCTCACGATCATTACGGAAACAAAAAATGAAAATTACATTTTGGAGAGAAAATCAGTCAGCCCGAAATGACCTGAGCTTTCAGTTGTTTTTTGTAAGAAAAGTGAATTGGAAATTGGAAGACGAGCAAACAGCAAACGTTAAAATAGTAAAAAACTCCATTGGCCGGGTGAATCGATGATCAAAATTGGGTAGTGAGTTTACGAAAGGTGATAATCTATTTGCAGGAGTGCATTTAAAAGAAAGCTGGGAAACGATTCTAGACTCTGTTCGAAAGCGTTATCACTTTTGCAGCGCCAGCATGCGAAAAAGGAAGATTTCCCTGTTTCCTCACTCATTTTTTATTTGTGATTCCAATCTGTAATTTATTGAAGCCATATTGTGGCTCCAATTTCAAAAAGACTTTTGAAAGGAGGAGCTAAGGTTTTTGCAAAATTTTATTACAATAATGTCTCTCCTCGTTCAAATCTTCTTCCATGTCTAGGGATCGGACGTTCTTTAAGCATTTTTTTTTGCACTAAACCGCAGTTAGAATTTGGTCTAACTACAAAGAATTTAGTATACTATAAGTAATTTAGTATATTTTTAGGATACTAAAGGTTACTAAATTTCTTCTCCAACATTCTCAGCTTCTCCTCGTTGCACCCTGTGCGACTCAGTCGCTCGTTAAATCTTTCCGACAAGGCGACGTTCACGGGCGCCGGTGTGAGCATCAATTCCCAAAACTGTGTAAAAACTGAACTTTTTGAAAATGTAACAAAACGCTTCAATTTTCTACATCGTATATCCCAACTACCGTAATCCTTCTTCATGTACCGGCTATCTTTTGTACCGGCATGTACCGGTTTTTGTACTTTTCAATATACTTGCTGAATCCTTAACAGAATCGGATCGATAAATAGCTAGATTGTAAAGCTAAAATTTGGGTTACAATAGTTTATCAAAAGCTGAAGCATTAGAATCTTATTACTTGAGAAAAGCTAATTAATAAAGAAGTGAAAGAATTGGCAAGAAAAAGTAGATTGAACCCTCGATCTTTTGCTTTCCGGGTAATCGCTCTAAACACTAAGCTATCCGGTGCCTTAACTTACCAAGAGAAAGAAGCCAAATCGGGCTAAACTTATCAGCCGCAACATTTAATGCAACGAGGCCCACGGAAAGATGAGAGTCTTCATTTTCTTGATTTTTTGTTGGTTTACAATCTCCTTTCCCTAGTATAGCCAATTTTTAAAATGCAATGTTAGATCAGAAAAATGGCTATCTTCAAGGCAAGATTTTCCGAGAAAACATTTCCAAGAAAAGACAACACTTTTTACACAACACAACACTCAACACTTTTTAGCTCTCGATTTGGAATAAGCAGAAATTGTAAAAAAATAGACGTTAGCTCCAAATTGAGCTAAGAAAAAGCCCTAAAAGTCTCCTGAAAGTCTGTATTTCAATCAATGACTCTGAAATGCTTATATTACTGCTCGACCTCGACGCCCAGACATTTCTTTCTTCGCGTTTAGGTATCAAATTAAAGTAGAAAGATATGGGAATTTTTTGAGCTATTACAGTAGCGGGCATAATTTTGGAAACTTTTGTTTTTTCTAAAAAAATTTTTTTAATAAAATCTGATTCGGTATGTTTACTAGCGAAAATATGTAGAACTAAAAAGCACGTAATAATCCATAGACAGAACTGCTGAACTCTTTGAAAACTATTATTTTTAATGCATTTATCTATAAACCCAGAGGACATAAATTTGGAAACTTTTCAAAACAACTCTAAATAATGACGCAACAAACCATTAAACTTCTAAATTAAAACAAAAACAAATAAATCAATTCAATACTTTGTGGAAGATCCTTTAGAATCAATAATAGTCTGGCACCGAGCGCTCATCGAAGCGACCAAGTTGTCGATGGTTGTTGTTTGAATTTCCATCCACTTTTTAGCCAAAAGCTCGAATTTTTCATTAGGATTATGGCTCTGAACGCCTGACAGGCTCACTCCAGAACTTCCTAGATATCTTCCATATGGTTTAAATCAGAACTCTGGCTTGGCCATTCCATAAAGTAATTCCTTCCTTCTGAAACCAGTCCTTTACAAGCCGCGAAGTATGTTTGTCCTGTTGAAAAAGAAAGTTGAAAGACATCAACTGGAGGCCATTTGGAAGCTTATGTTTCGATATAATGTCCAAGCAAGCATTTTTGTCTATAATTCCATCAATGCATTTTAATGGGATCATTCCGTAAGCTGAAAAGCCGCTCCATACAAGAACACTACCACCGCCATGCTTCAAAGTCGGAATTACGTATCCTTTACTGAACCTTTTGTTAATAGGACGACGGACATATCGAATGCCATCAGATTCAAACAATTCGAACTTACTTTCGTCGGAAAAGAGGCAAATAGACCATTGTTGAGCCGTCCAATATCGATGCTCTTCTGTGAATCCAAATCCGCGTAAACGACGTCGTACTATCTTTGAACTAATTTCCTTTTTGCCTTTGTCAGGCAAATCGGCGTAAATCTCGACCGATGACTTCTTTGGGTCAGCCTTTGCAAGAGGTTTCATCTGCAAGCCATCTCGTTTTGTCGTCTTTCTGTTTCTTTCTTTCGATATTGGACGGCTCAACAATGGTCTATTTGCCTCTTTTCGGACGAAAGTAAGTTCGCATTGTTTGAATCTGATGGCTTTCGATATGTTCGTCGTCATACCAACAAAAGGTTCTGATTTAAACCATATTGAACATCTATAGGAAGTTCTGGAGAGAGCCTGTCAGGCGTTCAGAGCCATAATCCTAATGAAAAATTCGAGCTTTTGGCTAAGAAATGGCTGAAAATTCAAACAACAACCACCGACAACTTGGTCGCTTCGATGAGCGCTCGGTGCCAGACTATTATTGATTCTAAAGGATCTTCCACAAAGTATTGAATTGATTTATTTGTTTTTGTTTTAATTTAGAAGTTTAATGGTTTGTTACGTTATTATTTAGAGTTGTTTTTAAAAGTTTCCAAATTTATGTCCTCTGGGTTTATAGATAAATGCATTAAAAATAATAGTTTTCAAAGAGTTCAGCAGTTCTGTCTATGGATTATTACGTGCTTTTATGCCTACATATTTTCGCTAGTAAACATAACGAATCAGCTTTTACTAAGAAAATTTTTTTAGAAAAAACAAAAGTTTGCAAAATTATGTCCGCTACTGTACATGATTTCTCATCAAAATCAAATTGAAAAGAGAGGAGTAAGCTTCATTCAGCGAAGAAAGGTTCTTGTGTTTGCTTAAAATCATTTGCTAATGCTTTAAATATAAATATAAATTCATTTTCTTTTCATTTTCCTAATTGCACGCAAGGTTTTAAGATCATTTTCCTGAGAAAAATAGTTTCCCCTTCAAAAAGTCGCGCCGCTTTTCACAGAAGCACCGAAGTTTCTTATCTTCTAATTTGATGGGTCGAGGGGTAGTAAAACATTTAAAATGACTCGTGAATGGTAGAGAGTTCATTCACAAAAATGAATGCTTTAGCACTTTTCACAGTCTTTTTTTCTTTACTCCATCAAAATCAATGCCATTTTCTACTGTCCACCTGAATCGTTTCAAATGCCGAATGAGAATGTTTGCGGGTTTGCTGTTGCACAAGGTGAATTCATTTCAAAATGTGAAAAATAAAGTTAAGATTTTGGGAAAGATTCGTTTTATGTAGAATCTTAAAAGTCACTAAGCTTTTAACTGTAAAAATGTAAGTTAAAAGTGACATTGTTACTCTTAAGAGTACTAAGAAGCCGTTGGCAAGATAAAGCCGGAACTCGTGAACTTGTAAAGCATCCAATTATGGCATAAGTTATTATTGCAAGCTTTACAAGAAGTACACAGCTCAACAATTGCTATTCTAGCCAATTATTACCATGACGTGGTGAGAGAGTGCTCAAAGCGAGGCGGAATTGTGGCGAAAATTCAGAATGCCTTCGAGAATGCATTTTTCTACGCGTTGATTAGTGATGGTTGGTTAAATATATCGTTTGGCAATGGTTAGCTTTAAGAATCTCGTAATGATAAGATTGATCCTCGTAAGGCTTAATTCAAGAACACAAGTTTTCGAGGTTATAACTAATGCAATTGTGAAGTATTTTCGTATTTAGACTTTGACAATCAGCCTCCATATATTGGAGTTGAGAAGAAACCGAATGGAAACTGGACGTACGCTGATGGAACACCTTTAACTTATCAACATTGGGCATTGGGTAAATCAAATCAAGTCTTTAATAGCTGAATGATTAGGAGAACCAAATTCGGCGTCCAATTCGGTTTGTGCAATTATGAACCCAACAAACGGTCTATGGATTTCCGCTGATTGTGCTCTGCCGAGATCATCCTTTTGCACAGCGATTGGAAACGGTAAATGAATCAGTTTTAACAGATTCACACGGCTTTAGAGGGTCCTTGTCCATCCAATTGGCTTTACTTCGATCAGACAAAATCGTGCTACTATCTACAGGTTGCTTTTGAGCTTAAAACCAATATCAAATCTTGTTTTTGGTAAATCTTAACATCTTGACAAAGACATTTGGTTTGGAATCCTTTCTAATTTCAGAATTTCATCTACCCGGATAGTCAGCACTGGAAATCCTGGAATTTCACCGAAGCAGAAGCACTTTGTCAGGGAATGTATGGCCATTTGGTGTCGATTCATTCAAAAACCGAGCACGATCTTGTGATGGGTGAGTCTAGTCTGTCAGTTATGAGTAATCATCATGTAATCATCATCAAGGGTTGCTTGGCAAGTAATCTCTATAGTTAATCTCAATAGATTTCAGTTGATCACCTCAACTTCAGGTCTCATTGGCACCAACGTGAATATAACCTTGGGCTTTCTAAGTGACGTGTGCTATTGGGAATGGGTGTGGACTGGCTTAGTTGGAACGGGCATCATCAACAATGGATATTGGACTGATGGGACACCCGTCGACTATTCACCACCAAAGATCTTCAATCCGCAGGACAGGAACCAAACTAACAACTGGATGGTGCGTGTCTGAAAATGTTAACCAATCTTTAGAATTAACGAATTTTTATATTAAAGATTTTCAGATGATTAACGATCCTTCATGTATGGGACCATCCGGTTGGTTCACACTACCGGCTGTGGCTAAATATTCCCGTTTCATGTGCAAAATGCCGGGCAAGAGTCTCATCGTGTAATTAACCAGAGAAAAAAATGCCTTCATTCATCAACCTTATGAATATTGTTAATAAACCTTAATCAAGTCTTTTCCCGTTACTTTACAATCTTTACACGCAAAAAATTCCAAAATTCTTGCAAAATTCAACGAAGCAGAGGCACTTTGTTCAAGAATGCATGGACATTTAGTGTTGATTCCCTCAAAAGTCTAGAAAGATTTTGTGATGGGTGGATCTACGACCTATTAAACAAATCAATCGTTTGATTTCAAATCTCATCTCAATTTTCTCTTTTCTGGCTGTCAATGGAGTTCACATTTGCTGGGCGAAATGGGTGTGAATTGGATTGGAACGAGAGTTGCTCAAAATGGATATTGGACGGATGGGACACCCGTTGGTTGGACGCCAAACGTTGAAGCTTAAATGCCGTTGTCGCAGTTGGGGAACGTAGTTCAGGCGGATGGGGCAGTATTCTTTCCCATTCATTCGGGCAACGGAGTTAGGTATGTTTTTTCTCTCATGGGCGAACTCAAGAACAAAACTGGCTTATGATTTTCGAAAGTTTACATTTCTCGGGATTTTTTTCGCATTCTTTGGCCAATTTCTAGTATTCAGATGAGTAACGATAGGTCTTGTAATGAAAGTGGCTGAGATATGAAACTGGACTCACTGGAATTGTAATGAAAGTGGCTGGGATATGGAACTGGACTCACATGTCTACAACCGTTTTGTGTGCAAAATGCAGCTAAAAGTCTTGCGACGATAGAGTAAAGGATTCTTCCTGTCCTGGATCAAAATTTAAATTTAACATTTCTTTTGTTCCTTTCAAGTAAAAGTTTTCATTCCCATTCATTTAATTTCATTACAGTTTTACTTCAAGAACTATTATCAAGTTTTATTATTTGGGAATAGCCCCAATCAAGAACTGATACCCAAAAGACAATCTTGTTCAAGTATAAGTGCGAGATGTCTGCAAGCAATCTTTAATCAACAAAAAAATTTGAACTTGCGTCTGTCAATTTGCGGCTTTTTACAGAAAGAATCAATGCTTACTGAAAGAACAATCACCTACCAATTCCGAATAAATTTTCTAGCAAAAACTGTATTATCATCAATCAAATATGGATCACCATTTGAATCGTTACCATCCTTTTTCTAATCTTGTCTATCTAAAACAATCTAAAATACCTAGTCGCCTGTTAACGCTAGATTCAATGCCTATCTCGAATTTCTTCGTTTAGAGATATTTCCCAGCTTTCCCAGTGCAAAATGCCAGGCAAGAGTCTCATCGTGTAATTAACCAGAGAAAAAAAATGCCTTCATTCATCAACCTTATAAATATTGTTAACAAACCTTAATCAAGTCTTTTCCCGTGACTTTACAATCTTTACAAGCAATGAAAAATTCCAAAATTCTTGCAAAACTCAACGAAACAGAAGCACTTTGTCCAAGAATGCATGGGCATTTAGTGTTGATCCACTCAAAAGTCTAGAAAGATTTTGTGATGGGTGGATCTACGACCTATTAAACCCATCAATCATTTGATTTTAAAAACTCATCGGCACAAACGTGAATGCGAATAACAACAATAATCTTTTCTCTTTTCTGGCTGTCAATGGGTGTTGATGATTTTGAGTGTTGATGTAGAGAATTTCATCCAAAAATTAGCTCGCGATTTGGAATAGATAGAAATTGTGAAGGGTTACTTTATCAAAAGCACTTTTAAAAAATGTTTTTCTAAAAATGACTTCTGCCAAAGAGTCCCAAAAATAGCCGAAAATAGCTCCATGTTGAGCTAAAGAAAAAACCCTAAAAATCTCCAAAAAGTCTGTATTTTCAATCAATGACTCTGAAATGCTTTATTATTGCTAAATTTTTACTTAAATCCCTTAATTCGATCTTCCATACTGTTTTTGAACAGAATACAATCTTTCTAGTCAAAAATGTGACAGTCAGCTTTGAAATGTGGAAAGATGAACTGGAATTCGAAGATGCTTAGATACGATTCATTGGGTTGTAAACCTTGGTAAATAGCTGATAGCTCAAGGGTTCCAATGATAACGATCAATAAGCTTATTACCATCAGCTAAACTCGGATTTTAGAAAGAATCATTGACTCTTGGCTGAAATTCAAACATTTTGAATGGAGATTTATGGTTGAGATGGAAATCTGCCTCAATAAATATGCTTTATTCGGCACTTTATACGTAAAATACATCAAAATAATTATTAAAGAAGCTTTTCATATAATCTTGTATTTGGATTTCCTAGACATCAGGGGTCTCGTTGAGGGTTTGAATCAATTCCTAAACAAATTAGATTAAATTCTTTTAAAAACCCTATCAACTCACCTTGACTTCAGCATCGAATCTGCGCAAATGAGGCAAGTAATTCTCAGCGGATGACTCAAACTTGGACTTAATTTTTCTAAACAACGAATGTTTCGTTTCGAAATCCAAAAGCCTACGTGAATGACTCGTGTTTCTCCTGTAAATCGGCCAAATTTGAAGCGCCCTTGAGAGTTTCCTCTTTCGAAAGCAATTCCTAAAGAAATATCGACTTCAATTGGTTTTATTTGATAAAAATGCCGTTTCAAAGATGTCAATGCCCTCGAGAAGACCCTTGTGCAGTTCAGGAACCAAAGCCTTGTACGTCTTGATGACATTCCTTGACCCTTGTTGAAGTTCCATCAACATTTGGTTAGCCTAAACACATGAAATTAATATGGTACCCCTTTCAATTCAAAACTAACAAAACTAAGAACAAGATGCAAAAGATACCTGCTTTTTCAATAACGGAGTGGCGCTGTGCGAATGATGTTTCACGTAAGCACAAGCCCCACAAATCTAAAAATCAAAAAGTGCTTATTCAATATTAGCAATCACTCACTTCAAAGCTACAGGCGCTACAGTAAAACATCTTGTCGATAATATTCTAAAATGTCTCTATAGAAATCAACTTAAGAAGTCCTACCTTTTCGTGGCATTCATTGCAGCTACATTGATCTTTGGCATTTCTACGTCTAAAAGCCAAAATATTGTTCGAAAACCATTTTAATGAAGAGCTTAAAAATCACAAATCCCAATTGGAGTTCCACTTTCGGCGAGGGAAAATCTCGTGGGAAGGGGTGCCGGCAAGACTGAAAAGAATGATATTTCAAATGTTACAGTCAAGTTTTAGAAAACGTTTTTGCTAGAAATCATATATAATTAATCTTTTAGAAAAATTTGAAAAGAAAAACTAACTTTTCCCCGTAGTCAGACTCTTTTGTGTAGCAATGAGCGGCACCGATCAATCCCGTTAACGGCAAGACTCGTCGGAGTAGGTACATTCACTGAAATGTGTGAAGTTAGAAAAGCAATAGAAACAAAAAAAAATATGAAAGAAAAGTTTATCACTGAACATCAAAAATTGGTCCATACAAGGGACAATTAAAACTGAAGGTTCCAAGAGAAATGTCACAGATAAGAAATGTAAATTGGGAAATTTTGACGGGAATTTGGGCTACTTTTAATGAAGTTTCGAGTTATTTTTAATGAAGAGCTAACTTTTAAAAGCTCACGATCATTACGGAAACAAAAAATGAAAATTACATTTTGGAGACAAAATTAGTAGTGTGAAGAGATTTTGAATGAAAAGGACAAACGAAATTTTTGCTGTAAACATTAACTTCTAGTTTTTGAAGATGAGGATGATAGATGAAGATCTAGATTTCACTGATACATTAATCGGAGTCTTTTAGGATGTGAATGCTGTTGGGAAAAAATGGGTTTACTCGAATGGACTTCCGCTTCAATATCAGGCATAAGATAAAAGGTTCTTCGTCTTCTAGTTTTTAAATCAAAAAAGTTTAGAAAAGAAAATGTGTAACGTTTCGAATTGTAATAGCGTTCAATTTGAGTGGCTTTATCAATTGATTATGCGTTTTTGCAAAAGGAAAATGGCATGAATAGAAACATTTTTTTGATAAACTGAAAGAAAGAAAAAGAACAGCAAGCAAAGAAAAGAAATAGATTGAAATTTGTTGATGTTTAATTGAAAAACAATGGTACTTATCGGTTTCTTTGTGGTCAATTTACTTATAAAATGGATCAGCCCAAGCAGCGTGATTGCTTTTCTCTAAAAATCACAGACAGACAAACTTTGTTTTTTAGAATAACTACCAATTCAAAACTTGACTTTTTAAGAAAGCTTTTATTTGATTTGATTTAAAAGTGTTCAATAACTTAGTTCCTATGGATTTACGGCCTTTTTTTGTGAATCATTAGACTTTATTTCTGACGAAAGAAGCTTTCTTTTTGTCATCAATAGACATTTTTTTAAAGTATTGTCTCATTTTTTTAAGTTATTTTGTCTAAATAGTTGTAATATTTAATTAGTAGACAATATTGGCGAGCCATTTGTTGAAGTGCCAACAGCGAATCTCCATTGTGTCGGTCACTGTTTTTCGTATTTCGCTCCATCGCTGTTTTTTTCGGATTCCAAAAGGTAGATTAGGCTAAAAGCAGCTAGCAAATGGCAAACTTCTTTCAAAAGTAGTAAATGTTGTATAGGGAATTAAAGCCCGGAATCTTGGCTACATTTCTCTATTAAAAACTCGACAATCGGAGTTATGCAGCTTATTTTACAAGCTTTTGAATGAGATCGGCGTCTTTCTGGCTACAGGATAGTCCAAAATTCTATTAGGTTTGCAAGATATAAACGATCGTTTTAGGCAACAACTTGTTTATTTCATAGAACGCAAAAAAAGAACATTAATCCAAAAGGTTTTCTCCTTTATTATCACTGACTTCTTGCCATCTTTGGCGCAATTCAATAATTCCATCTTCGAAGAACTGGGGACTTTTTGACGAAAAATAGTTGGTGACCGCATTTTCGACTTCCTGAGAATCCTTGAACAGCTGGTCGGAGATGAAATGCTTTAGAGACTTGAATAAGTGGTAGTCTCATGGGGCCAATTCAGGGCTGTATGGGGCGTGAGGTAGAAGTTTCCAGCTAATCTCTTCGATTTGTTGGAGGTTTTGCTTTCTTTGCCATCTTTACCGTGTGCGGTTTTGCATTATCATGCAAAAACGGACCTTCGACGGATTGATGCTTCTTGCCATCTTTGGCGCAATTCCTTGATACCATTCTCAAAAAACTGAGTGTCCTTCTGAGCAAAGTAGAAATCAAGTGCGTTTTTTGGCTTGTGCATGATCATCAAAAAGTTTTCCATAGAGGAATTGCTTTAACAATCGAAACAAATGGTAATCTGAGGGTGCTAGGTCGGGTGAATAAGGCGCATGTGGTCGAAGTTTTTTCCAGCCAAGCTCGTCGAGTGTTTTTGTGAGTGACTTTTGTTGTGTGCGTTTTGCGTTGTCTTGCAAAAAACGGACCTTCGACGGATTGATGCCCAATTTTTTCAATGAGTCACTAACTCTCATCAACTGTTTTGAGTAGAGATCAGCGTGTTTTATTCTCCAAATAGATCCAAGTTTCATCAGAAGTTAAAATTGAATTCCAGAAACCTCCAGCTTTGCACTTTTGAAGCAAAAATGAGCTGATATTGACACGTTTTTTTGTTGTCTTGAGTCAATTCATGGGAACCCACTTTCCACATCGATTTTCTTTCCCACCACGATGCAAATGATTTTCGATTGTTGTATGAGAAAAATCGAACATTTCTGCTAATTATCGTGTAGTGAGTGTTGGACCCTCTTCAATTTCTGCTAGCAAATCCACATCAGTCACTCCTGGAGGGTGCCTCTCATGCTAATTCTTTTCTATCTTTTTAAGTTTATATATAGATAGCCGGGAGCGTACTTGTCAACTCCGGATAAAGACAGGGTCGTCAAGGCAAGAAAGGAAGGAATGCCATGACAAGACGTTGCTCGCCACTTGGGATGTACGCCCAGAACAGTTTCTCTTGCTATATATATATACTTTATTCAGGATCTGAAATAAAGTGCGCTAGATTTAAGATCGATAAACATGAATTCATACACATAAAAACGAAAAGGACCGATAAAAAGCAACACGATATAATATATGTGATATATGGGTAGCACAGATAACGTCAAGGATTCACTAGAGCTTCAAGATCAAGATGATCTACAGATAATTTAAAGGTTTCGAGATTATTGAACTCTCTCGAAACTCTGGGGAGTCGATTCCAAATTCTGGCAGTTCTTATTGGAAAAGAGTTATAAACAAACTTATTGGAGGTGACTGGAATTTCTAAAACGAAAGAACCTCTCCTTGAACTAACTGTGGAATTAACTTTAAATAAATGTTATGTTTGAATAAATAAATGTACCTGTTAAATTTAAAAAAATAAGCATTTAGCTTTTGCGCCCAAAGCCTTTGTCTCATTTTGCCCCAAAGGTTGCCAATTTTTGAGGCAACTTTTATCAGTAAACGCCCGAAATGACCTGAGCTTTCAGTTGTCTTTTTGTAAGAAAAGTGAATTGGAAATTGGAAGACGAGCAAACAGCAAACGTTAAAATAGTAAAAAAACTCCATTGGCCGGGTGAATCGATGATCAAAATTGGGTAGTGAGTTTACGAAAGGTGATAATCTATTTGCAGGAGTGCATTTAAAAGAAAGCTGGGAGACGATTCTAGACTCTGTTCGAAAGCGTTATCACTTTTGCAGCGCCAGCATGCAAAAAAAGGAAGATTTCCCTGTTTCCCCACTCATTTTTTATTTGTGATTGCAATCTGTAATTTATTGAAGCCATATTGTGGCTCCAATTTCAAAAAGACTTTTGAAAGGAAGAGCGAAGGTTTTTGCAAAATTTTTATTACAATAATGTCTCTCCTCGTTTAAATCTTCTTCCCTGTCTAGGGATCGATCGTTCTTTAAGCATTTTTTTGCACTAAACCGCAATTAGAATTTGGTCTAACTACAAAGAATTTAGTATACTATAAGTAATTTAGTATATTTTTAGTATACTAAAGGTTACTAAATTTCTTCTCCAACATCCTCAGCTTCTCTTCGTTGCACCCTGTGCTACTCAGCCGCTCGTTAAATCTTTCCGGCAAGGCGACGTTCACGCGCACCGGTGTCAGCATCAATTCGTAAAACTGTGTAAAAAATGAACTTTTTGAAAATGTAACAAAACGCTTCAAGTTTCTACATCGTATATCCCAACTACCGTAATCCTTCTTCATGTACCGGCTATCTTTTGTACCGGCATGTACCGGTTTTTGTACTTTTCAATATACTTGCTGAATTCTTAACAGAAGCGGATCGATAAATAGCTAGATTGGATAAAGCTAGAATTTGGATTACAGTAGTTTATCAAAAGCTGACGCGTTAGAATCTTATTACTTGAGAAAAGCTAATTAATAAAGAAGTGAAAGAGTTGGCAAGAAAAAGTAGATTGAACCCTCGATCTTTTGCTTTCCGGGTAATCGCTCTACCACTAAGCTATCCGGTACCTTAACTTACCAAGAGAAAGAAGCCAAATAGGGCTAAACTTATCAGCCGCAACATTCAATGCAACGAGGCCCACGGAAAGATGAGAGTCTTCATTTTGTTGATTTTTTGTTGGTTTACCTTTCCCTAATATAGCCAATTTTTAAAGTGCAATGTTAGACCAGAAAATTTTCATTTTTCATTATTTTCAAGGCAAGATTTTCCGAGAAAACATTTCCAAGAAAAGACAACACTTTTTTCCTGTTTTTTTCTGGTCTTAGGGCACTTTTGCACAAAAAAAAACAATTCTTATGCAAAAGAGCAGGGTTATTTTTGAAAAGAAAAAAAACTGTCGAAATGGCTAATGATTTGTGAGAAATATTTAGGTGTTGACGATGAAAGTTCGATTGAAAAATTAGCTCTCGATTTGGAATAAAAAGAAATTAAAAAAAAAATAGCGTTAGCTCCAAATTGAGCTAAAGAAAAAGCCCTAAAAGTCTTCTGAAAGTCTGTATTTTCAATCAATGACTCTGAAATGCTTTTATTACTGCTCAGTTTTAACTTAAATCCCTC